ATAGTTTAAATAATATTAGAGGAACTAAGTAACTTAAGTTTCTAAAACCTCTTTTTTAGCTAAATCTAAAGTAAAGTGTTATATTATCTCTTTTATAAGTAGTAAACGTTATTTAGTAAGTGTATTAATATATTATATAAGCTTAGTTTTATATTATAGATAGAGAGAGAGGCAGCGCAAGCTATATATGTTGTATATACTCTTATGCCTTTAGGCGAGCGTATAGTAGTTAATACTATACTTCTTAGCAAGTTATTAGTATAAGAATTATTCTCTTAGTTCTTATAATTTAATTTCTTTAATTACTTCTTAAATTAAGTCTATATTAGTTAAGTTATAACGCGTTGAAGTTGAGATGTTGTTGTGGTGGAGGTGATCAATTCGCGTTGGTGATCATTTCGCGCACGGGCACTGTAGCTTCGCCCCAATGCAGCGGGATCCCTTGGCAAGCCGCACAATGCTGGGTATCACGAGTCGTGACCTGGTTTCGCCGACCTATAGTCTTGTGCGAAAGCCTACATGAACAACAGAGAACTTAAGCAACCAACCACTACTGCTTTCGAAAGCAGGGTCGAGGCAATATTACATGGTATCACGTGGTTCAATCTCTAAAAAGCATCTGTAGACATATCATATAGGGAGTTTAAACACAGTTCTATGTTAACAAAACCGCCGACGACTTTTGCTACCCGTCTATGGAAGACAACAGTAGAACGTTTGTAGTACGAGCGTGACCTCTTATCCCGTCTCTCGGTTATGTTCGTTTCTTATTGGCTAGGCTCAAAGAGAGGCATGCTAGTGCCTGACTAGTGCACGCTCAGTCCGTGTCTTGCCTTACGCAATTCTGACATCCGCGGGTCTTCCCTAGTTAGCCACCCTTTAACGCGAGCACAGATTGGACTTGTGCAGATGAAGCGTGATTTAGACAGAGGTCTTCTGTTAGCCAGCCCTTCTATAGACAAGGACGAACGGAGCGAGAGAAGAGTTAACGAGCTTCGGTTTAACGCCACTGCATATCTGCAGACAAGTTGTATAGGTCTAGAAGACCTTCTTTCTTCTTCTAACCCAGGGGATCGGCGATCGTGTCGGGAGACTTACTGTGGTCCCTCTCCGGAGTTTTCGAGAACGGAAAAATCCGACGTTCAAGCTTCAAGGCCCATATTATATACCTTCAAGTGAATCAAACCCATTGTACGAAGGATACAGAGCCAATCGAAGTAACGGTCTGTCCTAAAGATTCGGGTGTCTAATTTTGCCAACGTTCATCCTTCCGGAGAGGACCACAGTACAAGACCAAAGCTGTGTGATACCGTCGCCAGACACACAGACCGATAGTATAACTAATGTTGCCCCTTCTCTGTGCTTATATTTGGCTCTCTCCACTCTCAGTCGAATGTCTTTCTTCTTCACAGTTCTGCTCTCTTAGACGTAGTCGTTGTGCTGCCCATTTGCCACCTACTGATCGCTTCGTGCGTCCCATCTTACACCAACTCTTAGTGTCTCTTTTTCAGTTCGACGGCGCCGCGATCTGGCAAACTTCGAAATGACTTATTTTGGTGATAAGGCACCCGAAGTCACCGCAACAGTAATCACCCTAGCGGCTATCGCATATGTGGTCTTTGGAATGCGTGTATATACAAGAATCCGGAACAGGGCATGGGGCATGGATGACTGGTGTATGACGGTCGCAACTGTAAGTGGTCTTCTACGTGAGTGTACGCCATTAAGTGAGCTAACAGTATAGATTCCGTTTACTGCGTTAACTGTGTCATGCCTCGGAGGCTCTTTTAAAGGGGTCGGAGTTCATGAGTTCAGGTTGTCTGCAGAACAAGAGACCGAAGGTCTCAAGGTATGTAAAGCAAAGTACTTAGATACGACAGACGCTAAGCGGAATCTGACTTGCATAGTTCTTCTTCTTCTTCGAGGTTTTCTACTGCGCTGCCATCATTCCCATCAAATTGAGCATTTCTTTTATGCTAGTGCGCATTGCATCGGGAAAAAAGAAGTATATACAAAGTCTGTATGCAGTCTCTGCCATGTTTACACTCATGAACCTCATCGCGTTGTTTTACATCATCTTCCATTGCAGCCCTGTCCAGTAAGTACCGTAGATATAGGTCTTGTCGTTTTCTGGCTAACGATGTCTCCAAAGATATGCATGGGACACTTCTACTCCGGACGGTAGCTGTAACCCTGCTAAAGTACCTGCGGATATATATTATGCTACCACGGCAGTGAATATTACTACGGACTGGTTCTGTGCTATACTGTAAGTCTTACCCAGATAGAGCCACACTGCGCCATGTTCCAATTGCTGATCACTTAGTCCGATCTCACTTCTCTGGAACGTTCAGCTCAACCGTAATACCAAGCTCTCTGTGGGTGTTATTCTTAGCCTTGATGCTCTGTAGGTGGACCTATCTTTGATGCAGCCTCAGCGACGGATGCTAATGTGCTATTGTAGAGCGAGTTTGTCTGCTTGCATCCGTCTCGTTTATACGGTCAATCTGACCCATTCAACCGATTTTCTTTGTAAGTATATTCGGCCAAAGTACTAGCCCGCAGCAGTTTCCTGAGAGTTCGGGAGTGTGCATGCTAACTTTGATTTTCAGTTGGTATCTCTGATGTGTTGATTTGGGAATATGCTGAGAACGGCGTGGGCATGATTGTAGGCTGCGTCGCTACCCTTCGGCCTTTGTTTCGACGCATCTTTAACCTGGACGGGAACTCGGTACCGGAGCGAACGCCAAAAGACCACACGGTATGGGGCAGTGCAGATGCGCCATGTAATGGGAGGGGGGAAGATTGGGTGATGTTGTATGAGCAAAATGACACTAGGGTGAAAGCCCTAAAATCGTCCACTCAGCTGCGGCACTCGGAGAGCGAGGAAAGTATCCTGGGAACAGGGATTAAGATCACTAAGACAATCATGCAAAACAGCACCCGTGTAGAGGAAGACCAGGCGAGATATGGCAGTCGCAGGAACTGAGAAGGCATGTTTGATACAGTATTTGTTATCAAATTCCTTGTCATTTCCCTTCACTCATATAAAAAGCTCCCCTCTTTATGCCTACTTAATCGTTCAAGTCCTTCATATCCACGACTCACTAAATACAAGAAGCTGGTATACCGTGCCCGTGCGCGAAACGAGCTAGTTCGCGGGTCGAGCCACATGTCGAAATCTTCCACATGGCAGAAATGGGGCTGTAGAGCCACCCACAAAAGCGATTGTCGCGAGATTTCTTGGTGTATTGTTCTGCAGACGTATAGAAAAATTATCTAGTTATTCAGAATATCTTTTGGGTTGCTGTACTGAGCGGGTGCGGGTCGTTTTGGGCGGTGGAGGCGGCGGTGCAGGCGCAGCGTCAAGCCGGTTTCCAGCACCTATAACACGACGACGTTTTGTCGGAATTTTAGCAGCTTTGTGTGTGACTTTTCAATTGCCCTTTTTGGGTGTATTGTGAGATTTTGTGAGGTTGCAGCGTCTAGTTTCAGCTTTTTGAGTGCGCAGGCGGCAGTCAGCTCCTCAGCTTTCGCTTTCTTCGCCATCTCGCGCTGTTCCGTAAATTATTGTCGCTCCACACCTGCCTCCTCTGCCTTCTGCTTTTTGAGAAAGCTCGCAGCAGCCTTTTCCTCTCTTGCCTCTCTTTTCTGGAGTTTTTCCCGTTAGGCTTCGTCTTGTTTCGTGGCTTCGCGCGCGCAAGCTTCGCGTGGCTTCTCAGGACTCCAGAAAACTGCGCCGCTATGGTATTCCAGCCTCTGCTATAACTCTGGACTTGTGTGCTTCATCCTGTGCTTCTTTTGATGTTGAAAGCGTCCTGTAGGTCCGAGTTCTGAGTGCGAAGGAGGTCGTTGTTGACGCGTAGCGGGTGCATGCTTTGCGACAGCCGCCTGGCTTCAACTTTGGCCTTGTCAGCAACTGCAGCATTAAAAAATCGCAGCTGAGTCCAGCTATCGCCTTCGCCACGCTCCCCAGCTTCTAAGTTTTTATCTTGTCCCGAAGTGTGGTTGTTGAAGCGTTTTAGCACAGCGTCTGGTTACATCGACCACACGCCTGTAGCTTGAAAACTCTTTATTATGAGCTCTAGCTTTATTGTAGAGCTCTAAGCCGCGCAGAAGTCGTTAAAGAAGTTACGTTTCGTGATCCTTGTGATGCCTTGCGATCGCTGGAAGAAGTAGTCGAGCTCGTTGGTATAGTTCTTCGAAAGCGGCGAGAACAGTACTACACCGAGCGGCTGAAGTCTGTGGGTTGAATTAGGTGGAAATACTATGAGGGGAATGCGATTGGTGTCGCAAAACTCTACAAAAACGGGCGTGAGGTGGCTGCTGTGGCCGTCAAGGACTAGAAGTCGCCATCCTCGTCTTGTTTTCGACTTCGTATGTCGCTCGAACACCTGTTCGAACCAGGTAAGCCTGAGCTCGTTGTTTGACCATCCTGTAGGTGAGTTGAAGAAGAAAACCTAGTGTTGCCCAACCGCTACGTCGTCAACCTAGCTTAATTGAATCCTAGATGTGCCCTGGTAGATGAGAGCTGGCGGCAGCAACCCTCTAGAAGCGCATACGCAAGCAATAAACGTTACCTATTCTCTGTTGCCATCTTTAATCTATTTAGTAAGCTTTTCTAACTGCTAAACTGTCCTACTAAAGACTCGTTTCGAGCGTGAGGTGATGCCAACAAAGAAGCCCTTCTCGTCCATATTGTATGTGTGCTCTAGCTCCACTTCGTAGAAATCGATTTTGCTGCCCAACTGTTCGAAGTATACCTTGCACCTATCACTAGAATTAGCAGCATGGTGTTTACGGTCCATAGAAGTGCTCTACTAGGATGTAAGCTTATCTTAGTGTTAGTAGAGGAAGCGAGTAACCCAGCTTTTAGAGACAGGGTGTCCAGCAATATTAGACGCGTAAATCTTTACTATCTTTCTTGCAGGAGGAAGTTTTCGCTCTGTTAATTTTTCTGTATACTTCACAAGCTCTGCCTCCTGTTCTGGTTGAAGATTGCAACGTGCTAAACCTGCCTCCGCACGGGACCCACTAATACCTCGGTGCTTGCGCGACAACGTTGAGCGAGCAACACTATGCCTTTTAGCTATTTCCGCATAACAAATATCTTCGTTAGAGTTAAGAGCATCTAGCTCTGCAAGGGCTTCTTCTATAGTCAACGTGGCGCTGAGTTGTTGGGGAATGTAAAGTTGGGATAAAATCGCGATCGGGGGAATTGACTGACGGCGTGCATTGTGTGCACGGACACGGTACCTGCGAGGTACGTTATATATACATATGTTATTATATACAGCACAATAAGACAACTGCATCGCGCACTTGTTTCGATAGAGAATATAGCAAACACTCTGCTGCAGTACGTAGCCTCTTGCACTAATGTCGTTACACTAGTTGTTCTCTACAACACATCTCTCGTAACCGTAACATTCGTCGTCACTATCACGTTATCTTTTCCATCTTGCGTTTTCGTCTCATCAGTAGTTCCAGTGGGGGTTAGACTAGCCTTTCGGTCAAGGAAGGTCAACTCCATCTCCTCCTCATCTACAGTGCCACCTTGGATGTGTGCCGTGTAGGTGCCATCTCTGCTACTGCTAACCGGTTTTCCGGGTCCGGGTTGTAAGTACCCGGTGTTGCTGCGATTCGCCGTGTTCGTAGGCGCTGTCCGGACGATGATGGGTTTGAGTGATGGGAGCGAAACGACAATAACTGCTGTGCACATTTCGGCTGTGCACCATGCATCTGTTGTTGTGTTAGTACTAGATAAGAACAATACGAGGACTGAGGTGGGTAGGTGAAAACATAGGAAAGTGGAAGCTAGCAGACTTACTACCGATAGCATCGGAAACGTTGTAATCTACGCTGTATACGATGAATCGAGCAAGGCTGATAGCCATAGTAATGGCACCTAGAGAGAATACTCCAACCAAGCCAATCTTCTGCCGTCTACGGAGCTTCAGGCAGTTGATGATGGAGAAAGGGAGACAGAAGACTAGACAAAACACTTTGTTAGTCCGAATATTACGAAACGAATGGATAAAGCACTTACGCATCAAATCGGTACCGATATTCAATGCCCAGTTGATTGTCAGATCTGTGTAAGAGTTCCATGTTGAATTGAGCTGGTTCTCGATCGACCTAGTGACCAGCGCGTGTCAGCAGACGGCATTGTTGGGTGTTGGAAGTTAGAGTTGCGCCATACCAGTTGTCAGAGATCGAAGGTGCGATGAAGGTATCCGCCAATAAACTTGCGATCCAAGCGCAGCCTATGATAGCAGCAGTAAGGTATACTGATATCCGCAGATGCTTGAATCCCCAAGGAATCAACCACCAGTAGAAAGCTACGAGAGACGCTTTAGGGAAGTATAGTCCAGTGTCAAAGAAGTAGCAAGACACAAAGACTGTCTGCGATAAGGTGTCTGTTAGCTAGTGCTACTGGAGGAAGCCCCAGTCTTAGATGGTGCAGTTCACTCACCTTCAAGTAATCGACAGAATCCGTTATAGCCTCTTCGTTCAATGGATGATCGACCAGGATGTAGAGCGCTTGGGTGGAGCAAGCAAACCATCCCAGTGCGCAAATCCATCCTCCCCAAACGAGGTAATCGGCAATCGTCAACAGTCGTTGCTCTACATGAAGGCGAATCCAGCATCGTAAGATCGTAACGGCTAGTGCAAGAGCGACCAAGAGCGCCTGGACGACCTGCGTGGAACGTTAGCGAGGGCTTGAAGTGTTTGCTTTTTCGAAGCACTCACAACGGACGTTACTGTCTGCATTGCGTTGGGCAGCTATGCATACCGTATCCGGTGGAGGTTCAAGACGGGATTCTTTCCGATAGATTGGGTCAAATGGTAATGAAAAGGACAGTGGCGAGTGTAAGCTTTTTTCTCAACACTGACACCTGCATATGCTGGAAATGGTCTTGACATAGACTAGAATAGTTTGACATGAGAGATTAGTCGTGTGCATCCGAGGTAGTGGTATGGTTGGGTGTGCTATGTCCCGCATTGGTGCCATGATTCGCATAGTTCCAGGCGGCAGGTAGCGTGTACCCCGTGCTGATCAGTCGATGACCAACGGCGTGTCACATGCGGTTGCCATCCAGATAACAAGCCCTCATGAATCGGGCAAGAAGGCTTTCTTTCATCTACTTGTGATATGCCGATTGTTCTGTGTTAGTACTGTACACGTGATAATGAGTCTCTTCGCAAAAAGCAGAAGAGCGCGGCTGCTGCGATCTATTAATGCGTTGTTCCGTGATCTGTAATATAGTTTCTCAGTGACGCCGACATGCTTCAAATGCGTACGTAATTCTAGAAACGGAGATTGCCAGGCGGGATGGGTAGCGATACATAAAGTAGGGTGAGAACTTGATTCCTGTTTTTCTCACATGGCATCTCGCGAGCGTCAAGGAAGGCTGGTGAAAAAACCCTGGGAGTCTCCTATGGCGTTTATCCACTGCCAACAGTTTCTATGGTAGCGAGAAATAATATCTTCTGGACCTGTAGCGTAGCGTGCCAGGAGCTTGGCGGTTCCACGGTACTGTTCTTGGGCAAGAACGCATTCTCGTGTATCGCCGACGGCGGCCTTCTCAGTATTTTGGTCGGTCCCTTTAGACCGTAGCGAGCCAATACCGCATGGATGGTCAAAGCCAGGTTTGCTTCAGATGCGCAACTAGATGAGGACCGACTCTCCCTTCTCGAGTGAGGCAAGACGCGTATTGCAGCCGCAGTTGCGTAGGATAGAGCTGGTTCGATGCGCGGTGTGCCAGACCCTAACTTGGATTCGATAGCAATCGTGAAATGATCTGCAAGGCTTCATAGGATGGCGCGTTTCGTGACTCGCAGCGAAGAACATGATCTAGATAGAACGTTAGAAATCGTCATCTAGTTAGTGCAACGACTACTGCAGGGGATCTGCGCTACGAGAAGATGACAGAGGCTAATAAACCTTATAAGATCCAACCTGTTGCCCGGAGTTGGCTCGTGCCCCGCCGAACACCAGAACACGCTAGGTAGACTCTACCCTCGCCAGCCTAGCCACACTCCAGATGCTTACAGCGAACGGGCTCTCTCGGAAGGAGGTTACCGTGTCCTTGCGCCCAATGACCCAAGTCGCGTAGTAATCCACTTGGCAACATGAAGATCATACAAGAATGAAGCTGTAACGTCCCTCCCTGAGTGCTGGGACACTCGCCGTGCTGGGACAAATGAGAGGTACTTTGACTTTCAACACATCGCTTTCTTCGCACACGTCGAAAATAATAATAAGCCTGTGTTACTTATGTATTAGGGCTATTTGTGAACATCTTGCACTCCTTCTATCTAATAATTACGTTGCTACTGCCGCCTATGTGCAAAAGTTACAAGCAGTCTTCTTTTCGTGTACAACATTATTGCTCTGCTGCAACATTGTGTATTAGCTCCTAGCGTCTACAATGAATGCAGGAGTCGCGTAAACAAGGGCCGTCAGGCGTACTAATTTGTGTTATTAACTACATCAAAACACTGCAGCAATACGAGCTTTTTTTGAGACTTTCAGCGCGCTGTTAACACTAGGTTGCCTGCTGGTGAGCTTCCTAGAGTGCTTGAACTAGGTAAGCGTGTCGTTATCCGCTAGAATTCGTATTACGCTGCTTTTCGACGCGCTAATCAACTACAACCTGCCTACAACTTATACGTAGAGCACTATATCAGCTGCATCGCTCTTGACAGTAGGCGCGCATCGCAGTACAACAACAAGCTATCTAACACTCCAAATTGGTTGAAATTAACAGGGCTTACAGCAATTGCTTGGACAGTGATAATTAAATACCAAGACTGCTTACAGCCGCTCAAGTTTGCTACTGAGCGACTAGAAGGATGCGGCAAATTAGGCAACTTCGGTCCTATATACGAGATTATATCCGTATTTTAGTACGTACTCAGCGCGTCGATTTCAACTACACTGACGCAATAACAGCTGGGCCGACAAGCTAGAGTAGCTTAACACGGCTGGCGCTGGGTTTCAGCGACTTTGGAAAACGTATAAACCTCAGCACTAGCGGCTTCTAGCAGCTCGTACGACTACAATAATAATTACAGGTAGGATAGATGACGTGACTGGCCCATTTTTACGCCAGAGCGACAACAATGAGGGGGTAGATGAGGACGAGTACGAACGCTGAGAGTCTCAGGAAACTGAGTGGAGCAGGGAGCAGTACCTGCGCGGTGGTCACTTAGCCATATGTTGGACACAAATGCGCTCAAAATACCCGTATTTGAGCTAGTTTGCGATCGATATCCTGACTACCCCAGCGTCAAGTTGCGAGTGCGAGCGGCTCTTTAGTGAGCTCGGGGACCTACTTGAGCCCAAATGACGCGCTATTGGAAGTGAGCTACTTGCTGCTTTTTGAACGGTAAGAGCGTGAGTAAGAGCTGGCTTCGAAGCTCAGCCTACTAGTAGCGTTGAGGGCGATGATAGGGATGATCTATCATAAGGGGATATTGTACGCGACTATAATATACAAGAGTGGATCACCTAGCTACTGTAATTATATACAACTTCGATCTCTAAGTATCTAATCTAATTAATCTTCCAATCAATCTGTCTAAAAACACAACCAATTAATCCACAATCAATCAGCAGCAGCGCCGCAAAAAATCAAGTCAACCGATAACTCTAAGATTAATTGAATTGATGGTTGCGGAGTCTACTAGTGAGTGGAGTTACAGCCGGAGCCATACGCTCAGAACGAGCCGGCGATTAGGGTAGGTTTCGATGTGAACGTCAAAGAGTAATCATCTCGTTGGTGAACTATGATTAATGGACTTAGGTCCTAAGTTTGAGCTAGTCGTAGCTTTTTTGCCACCCATTTTGCGAGCCAACTTGGCATAGTCTAAACGCGGTATTAGTCAACTAGGTAAAGCTGTATCATGTTTGCGTACTTACGTAGACCACAAGCATTGCACAAGGTTCTGGGACCATCTGGCCCTCTCCGCCACTCTGGGGTCTCGGCTCTGTTGCAACTATGACAACGTTCTGGCAGTGCAGCTCGCTGTGTTTCAAGTCAGTGTCGACGCGTGATCAATATGATAAGGAATACCTACGCCTCGCTTCTTAGTCTTGTTGTCGCCCCCAGCGAAGCGGCCCATTCGTTTGGTGCTGTCACCATAATTACTTCCACTGTCATCGTAACCGTTTCTCGATCGATAACGCGAATCTTGTGGGGGCTCCATGATGCTCACTTGACGATAGTTGAAGACGACATCTCGCATATGCTGAAGCGACATCAAGATCCTCCCACTTTGCTTTAGCATATCAACGATCTCCTCTAACCTTGGCATATCCCCACAGTCCACGCCTATGTGTTGATTCTCATGCGCCTGTTGTCGATATGTCTTTGAAAACTCAGCAATCCGTCTAGATCCGTCAGCCATCTCTTTAAGTGAAGCCTCCAGATCAAAGCTTTCTAGATGTCGCTTGACTAGCTCGCCATAGGGTAATAGGCTCGAGCGACTAATCTTCTTCTCTTCCAAACGAGACATCTCTGAGTTATCCTGCCATGATTGCGAAAGATACCAAGGCGTGGCAGCGCAAGTCGAGGTTATTGGAGGATATGCCAAGCTGGAAGCACTTACCGAAGGGGCCAACAAAGTACAGCTGGGAGGATACTGCGAATAAGGATGACACTGATTCATGGGTCCCGTTGACTGAGCAGTAGAGCTCTCGTACGTAGTTGATGGTGGCGGATGTGAAGGGTAGGGGATGTTAGTGCGAGCGGCGCTCATTGACAGGGATCGCGTAATCTTGAGTGGATGAAGGGCTGGTAGCTTCGGGCTGTGTTGAGGGGTCGAATACGGCGGCTGGGATTCCGAGAAGGGTGGATGAGGCAAAGAATCCGCCTGGGTCGTAGGGTATGGTGATGGTGGGCTTGCTTTTGATGCTGGCGCGCTGAGGATTGGACTTTGTGGGTGTAATAAAGGATTGGAAAGTCCTTGACTGGCATGTTGAGGATTGGATGGATAGTACCGTGCCCGTTGTTCGGTTAGTAAAGTAGCAGCGGATGAAGAGAGATAATGCTGAGGAGCTGACCTTATGGATGAGGGCGGAGGCACCGTAGCTGGGAATGCCAGCGGCAGCTCCGAGCCTAGCGCATCATGTATTGACGGCAAAGACTGCCGGGCCGTCGGTCGCTGCAATTCCTTCTCATGGCCAGATATCCTACGTGATTCGGAAGGAGACAGCAAGCCTCCAAGCGAGCCGGGTACTGCGCTGGCGACTGAAAGTTGGTAATTGCTGTGCAGATGCGGTAGGCCCGCCTAAATGTGCAATGGGTTGGGTATGGCAGCGGGGTGTTTTCTCTGATACTCCACCTCTTTGCGCTTGACTCTGCCGGCATCCATGTGGTTGATCGAGGTTAAACCGATGCTATTGCGAATAATTAGCACCAACAGATTGGTATGGAAGTGACAATGGGTCGCCAATAAATTAAACAACATACCTTTCCCTACTATCAGCATCCAGAGTTTCCATGGTGGGTCGTCTACGGGGCAGGTGTTGATGCTACGGTCTGAGATGCAACTGCGAACTGCCGCAGCAACACGAAGGCGGGGAATCGTGAGTCCCGCACAACGTCAACCAGCGCGAGAGTTTGGAGCCGTTCCTTGCACAAACGTAGCCAAGCAATTCGATGAGAACCTCTTAACTACCCACAATAATGTCGCAATTGCCACCCTCCTATTGATCACCCACTTCGTTCAAAATAATCGCTGCGTCCAGGTCCTCCGGGAATCCTTTCAGACAAGGGTACGGGTGAGTATTGACGCAGGCCGCGGTGGCTCCTTAGTTGCGTTGTCGTTATTGCTGTTGCTGCTGCTCTTTCAGTTCTCGATGTTATGGCTGGCGTAGTGGCGCAGGCACGACGGCCTGGAAGGATCGTTTGAGTTGAAGCACACTCGGTGACTACACTATGCGTCCTTCTTTTGCTATGTGTCGCTCTTGGTATGCGAAAGTGGCGCTGGTATCAGATGATGTGTGAAAGAGCTCGGCATGTGTGGAATGGGCGGAAGAGCGGCGAACAAGCTAAACCCGTGATCTTACTCGATTTACGTGGAGTTCAGCGCCTCCTCTATGCTTGCAGATATGGTGTGAGGACAGGAGTGCACAGATTACCGCAGCGGGTTAAAGCAGACGCAATCAGAAATAAACCACCCTAGCAGCGAAGAGTCGCTCAAGGTGACAAGAATCCGTAGTGAGCAAACAAGGATAAACTAGATACAGCACGTCTGTTTGCCCCAGCAAGGATGTGGGTGACGAGGGCTCTAGCGAACTTCCAAAGCGTGAACTCAAAAGGCAAGCAAGGATATGCTACACACGATGGCAGCTCTTGCAACGCTTGCCTGATCAAATCACGCTGTCCTCAAAAGCAGCCAAGACTGGATCCCCGAGGGGCAAAGATCAGCGCTATCGAGCCTTCGTTTGTGCTCCGCAGAGTCGATGCTGGGCAACAAATCCAACTTGGGGCAAAGGCAGAAAATGCAATATCATCCTGTACTGAGTCGAGATTTTCAGTTACATACCGTCACCTAGAGCGATCACGATCTCGTTTCGAGTACATCCTTTTCGTCTTGTGCGTGCATCTGATACTCACTAAGGTTTAGCGGATATCGGCCCGAACGGGTCTAATGCACCATCGCTGATTTGGTGTCCTGCCCAAGCGACATGGTACGAGCTTGACGGCGGAATGAGCCATCCCAACACCAAAACAGCCCCACAACTCGAGGCTGTAGAGCCTCACGCAATAGCTGTTGTCGCATTGTTTTCTATGAGAGAGATATATGAAACTTAAATAATATATTGCGATATAATTACCGCTTTGAAATGTTGATTGCTTTGGCCCGTGGTGATTAGATAGCTGGTGCGCCTGCAACAGCACCTTGAGGACAAGACCATTGACTATGATGTGTCTTCTCAGCGATGCAACCGGCTGCCGTAGGTGATGGCGCTCTTTGGTACGCTGCATTCCCTGGTACGCTATGCACATTCGCTGTGGCGTGTCAAGAATATCAAACAGTGAAGGTGAGAGTAGAAAGCGTGAATCTTCATGACTTAAGTTGGCTCAATGGTTTGTGTGTTGGCGACAGGGGAAGAGGCAATCGCCGATTTTGATGTTACGCCCTTCGTATCCGGCTATTCTTGCCATCTGGCTCGGCGAGTAGTTTTCCTTGTTCTTCTGGCTCCTAGCTCCGCGGCAGTGACACACGAGTGCCAGCCGTCATGGGATCGCAAATGGCCCTATTAAGCTTCAGGCCACACAGATGCTAGCGTTGCTCGCTGCCGCTACAACAGTCATACCATATCTCCTTCATCCCGTTCAGGTCCTTCTTCCTACTGTATACGAAAATAAGCTTGATCTGCGAAACACGGTACTGTTTCAGCGCGATAATGGTTCCTCCGGGCATCCACCCTCTGCCCACGCCTCCAGCCTTTTCTAATCCTCCAGCGTCCTATGTGGACCACGACCGGTCGTGGGCGCGACCGAGCGAGGATGGACTAGCCCTTCGCTTCTTCCGTTATACTCCCATTCCAACAATCCTATTGGATTCCTCGCTTGTTATACGTCAGGTGTCAGACAGTTATCTCGAGATTTCAGGCGGTTGCAGAGCAGACCAGGTGCTCGGATTACGCCCTGATGAATGCTTTGGTCAAATCGTGACTATTCCCTCATGCGATTTGGCCGATAAAGCCACTCGGGCTGCGAAGGAAAGCAGACTGCCATATCAGTTAGACGATGTGCAGCCTGATGGGACCATCTGGAACATTCGAACCATCCCCGTCTACGACGATGGTAACCTGCTGTACGTTCAAATGGAACTCCAAGATGCGACTGAGGAGCGTCGAAAGCAACTAGAACTCGAGGAACGACTATACACGAACGAAACCTTCCGCATCTTGGTCGAAACAGTGAAGGACTATGCCATCTTTATGCTGGATCCTCAAGGCAACGTGGCAACCTGGAATGCTGGTGCTCAATTCTTCAAGGGATACACAAGAGAAGAAATCTCCGGAAAGCACTTTTCATACTTCTACTGCCAGGAAGATCGTGACGATGGCAAGCCTGATCGAATGCTTGTCGAGGCTCTGCGAGACGGTCGATACGAAGACGAAGGATGGCGCTACCGCAAGGACGGCACACGATTCTGGGCCAACGTTGTCATTACTCCGATATATCGGGGCGATAATCTCATAGGATTTGCGAAAGTCACTCGAGATCTGAGCGAGAGACGTAAGGCTAAAGAAAAGTTGATTGCTGCCTACGAAGAGGCCTCCAAAGTAAAATCCGAGTTCCTGGCCAACATGAGTCACGAGATTCGAACACCGATGCATGGTAGGTTAGAAAATTCCTACACAGAGTAGAAGAACCACTAATACGTCCCCAGGTATGCTATCGGCCTTGACTTTGCTCTTGGACACGCGCCTAGATTCTGAGCAACTTGAACTAGTACAAATGGCCGAGGAATCCGGCGAGGTCTTGCTTCAAGTTATCAATGACATCTTAGATTACTCTAAGCTTGAATCTGGGTGCTTCACTACCAGCCACGACATTATTAACGTCACGGATATTGTCCAATCCGTGTTGAGAGCATACCAAAAAGGCTGCAAGCCGGGGATAACCATGGAAAACTATCTTGATCCCAGGCTTCCCAAAGCTGCCGAGGGTGACAGTTTCCGGTACCGTCAAGTCGTGCAGAACCTAATGTCAAACGCGATAAAATTCACCGAACAGGGATACGTACGTGTTAATGCCACTCTCCAGAAGGAGGACGACAAATCATACATCATATTGACTGAGGTTGTCGACACGGGCGTCGGAGTCCCCTCTGCCAATTCTAGCGCCCTCTTCACTCCGTTCACGCAGCTTGACAACTACACTACCAAGCGATATAAAGGCACCGGCTTAGGCTTGTCCATCTGTAAGAGCTTGGCAGAGCTGATGGGTGGGAGTATTGGCTTCCAACCCAATCCAGAGGGCCGCGGAAGTATTTTTAGGTTTACCGCTAAGCTGAAGAAGGTGAAGCAATTGGATCACATCCATGTTTTGCAGGAGAAGATGAATGCAGTAGCCGTCCCAACACCGGTTTTGCCATTGGAGGACATTAAATTAGCAGCCGCGAATAAGAGGGTCTTGTTGACAGAGGACAATCCCATCAACCAAAGAGTTATGGTGAAGATGCTCAAGGGACTTGGTTTTGAGAACGTGGATCTAGCAGCCAACGGAAGGAAAGCCGTCACGATGTTGACCAAGGATCCGCTCGCATACCATGTGATCCTCATGGATATCAATATGCCCACACTCGATGGCATTGGTGCCACCCAGGAAATCCGTGATGCTGGTATCTCTACTCCAATCGTTGCGATGACGGCGAATGCACTGAAGGGCCAGGTTGAGACGTATATCGCAAAAGGGGTGTCTGCTTACGTCTCGAAACCGGTGGACCGGAACCTTTTGGTCAAGGTGTTATTGAGTTGTCTTCGACTGAGCACTCCTACCTGAAGCTATTGGGCATCTTCTATCATGCTTTGCTGCAAGGACTGCTTGCCAGGGCGCTCTCTTCACTTTGTCCTCGTGGTCTGCATTCGAGTAATTCACTATCCATATTGAAGGGCGTTGCGTAGGCCTATGTTCAGGTACAAGTGGTGGGGCTGCTGCTCAAAAAGGAAGCATGTGTTGATGCTGGGGACTTCGATCGGTGAACGTCACTTCGCTAAGCTTCAAAAAGGGCCATAAGGACGTGGTGAAGTTGCTGCTTGACAACAGGGCAGATATCGATATGCAAGACAAGAACGGTGCCACCGCACTCTATTTAGCGTCCGCTAGTGACAAGGTAGAGGTTGTGGATCTGCTGCTCAAGGAACAAGCAAAAACCGATTGCAAAAGCCCCTAGGGTAGGATCGCACTCCACGTAGCATCCTTTGTAAGTAGGGGGTAGTAGTAGTGTAAGGTCTCATATATGAGTGTATTGTTCTCTGTATGTACAAGTGTGTGATCTGAGCTCTTAGGTAGTCGGACGCATTAGTCATGACTGCTCTGCAGTGTCCGTGCTCGTGATGCGCCACCTCATCACTTTTTGAGCCTGCTAAAAATGAGATTATTAAGCCACATATAAAAGCTGTTACAACTAGTTTTCCTAGAGGAGCAATCTACAGACCTATGCAACAAGCTCACTCACCTAAATCTATGTGGACGAACTATTTTGCAGCCATGCGTGTTGTGGATGGGTGGAGGCTTACAGGGTGGCTCATGAGCAACACTACTGCTACGCACACAAGCAGTACCGCGATTCTGTTTCTTTCTTGGTGCTGCAGGCTGTGAGGCCTTTCGCTTGCCTTTTCGGGACGATTGTAGAGCTTTCTGAGCGTCGCGCTCTATCGCACGGTTGGGTGCGGGTGTTATAGACAGAAAAACTAGGAGAGAGTGTATGTGTTGCATTGTTTGTAGCATCCTAGCTTAGCTTATATGCAGGTCATCGCGCGGCATCATTAGCAATAAGGTTCATGTTCCCGACAGCGCTTAGTCTGCAACAATCTAGTACTGGGAAGACTGTGTGAAAGTATGGTATGGTATGGAAACGGCACGGTACGGCACGGTCGATACGACATGTCTCGAGGTGACTTGTGCGGCTCCTTGCCGTGACATTGACGCTTGTATATAGATTCCTCAGCTCGTTGATGCGGGCGTTAGCGGTGCGTATTCTCCAACCGACTGTGGTGCAAATGGTTGATGTCGTGGGATTGATTTTGCAGCCATTATATTAGTTTACACTTGGTCTTGGCTGCAAAGCTTTGCGTATTCCGTCGTCTAGATGTGCATGTATGTTGCTCAGAGGCTAGATGTGCGTGTTTGCTGTCCATACGAACTCATTAATCATGGAAACCACGTCTCGCGGGTCACGGCTGGAGACCCGCCTCGCTTGTACGGAGCCAGCCGCCTCTATTCAATCGACCCTGTCGCCGCAGGGAAATCGACCTTCTAGGCGTACATACCTGCATACAGTTGCAGTAATAGGGATGATTGTGCAGGGGGGAAAGGGACACCGTGCATGGATCTTCCGCACCGCTCTAGCCGATCAGGCGATCGGTTTGCCGGGAAACAGGAGGTGGGGTCCAGGCATGGGGTCTCCGATGCAACGGAACGCGTTACCAGGCACCATAGCCCCTCCTCATCAAAGGTATCAACGTGGGGACCTCAAAACTCAACAGTATTACCTATTAACAAGTTAGTATGAGCAGTTGCACTAGTCATTCTAATGTCGCGGAATCGATTGTGCCCAATATGTTCTGCGGTATGCTGTGCTACGGTGGAGAAATAGAGCTGTGAAGACAAGGGAGGGAAAAATGAGGTAGAAATCCTGAAAATCGACTATGCTCTTTAGGCATTGTGGCTGAAATAGGACAAGATGATAAGCCCGGTCCTGTTTTCCGGGGCGACATCATAGTTAAGGCGGCTGGAACCGGCGCTAACGTTTGCGGGATAGATGCAGACAGAAACAGGGAAAACATCCCTGCGCTAGAGAAGAAATCTCGATCGCTGCATTGCAAATAACTATTACGCCTCTCTTGATAGGGCAAGCTCTCGCGGGTTTCAGAAGGAAAAGAAGTAATCTAGGAACCGTGACAGGCAAGGCCAAGAACCTGAAGCAGATGTGTTGTGGTTCGGCGTTGGGGGTGTGGACACGTGTATGCACTAGGCTTTGTTCTTTTCGGGCTGTGCCCTTGGACTGCAGATATTACCAACAATTGCCGTGTGAGCACAACCTCCCAAAAAGCACTCTCGTCACCGACCAACAGCAGTTGCTATACGCGAAGGCGGGTTCTGCAAACTCGTTCCTATTGGTATCTACAGCATCCTCTGCTACTCTTTTCATAGCGCGCCCTACGCGAGGACGATCTGCTTGCTAATTGATGCTAGGGGTTGTACTTCCTGTGGAAGGACTTTGGGGTGATGATTGCCTCGTCTCTGTTACCCTGACTGCCCTGGAGTGCTCGTCATCCTTCCGCCCCTAACAGTGTAGCAAACATAAGACTATTATAGCACTCTTAGAACTATAATAGCCGCCAGAAGACGTTAGAAGCTCTCTCAACATCATAAAATTCATCGCAGTGGTTGAGATAGTGGCGCATTACACTTTTGGCACACGACGCTAGTGTTCCCACAAAGTGAATGTTTACACAGCGAGCCTGCAGCCTGTCTAGACATGTGCAAAACGTTAACAAATGTGTGAAGGGGGGTTCCCCCCGTGATTGGGTACCGACTTGTCATTGTTATCTAATTCCTCTTGATATCTATAGGAAATAATATCACCACTGACATCCTTTCACTTTTGGCATGCATTTCGCAATCAACTAAAGCCCTGGCATCTTTAAGCAACAAAAGGCTTATGCAATAGCTATTCACCCGAATCGTCCCCTCTCCAAGGCACGATGACAAGGTTGTTATTGGGCCCCAACCTGTCGGGTCCTTGAGCTGTATCTCGATGTTTCATACACAGAAGGCACATTCCTCGAGATTTGCGAGTTCAAGTCTGTACACAGTCGAGAAAGCAATTACATCCCCACTTTTAGAGATCATGCCACAGATAAAGGAGCTCAAGTGCAATTGTTTGAGCTTTTCTGCTCTCTAAACACTTCTACACTAGTTTCACTAAGCTAAATTTCATCTCGCTATAATGCGAATGATCCCTATCGAGAATAGCCGACAAGTTGGCATTCTTGTAACCTCCAGCATTTCCATCTTGATAGTCACTGTCTCGGTAGGTCTGCGCCTTGTCGCCAAAAGCATCTGGAACAGACTCGATTGCAGCGACTACTGCATTATAGCAGCCTCAGTAGGTCGTATGTCTATGTGAAAACCACATTTGTTCTGACATGTCTACTAGCTATGGAACATTGCGCTCCACGCTTGCTGCTTGACGCTGGTCACACATGGCGGCTTTGGGTTCCATATTATGGAAATTCATCAGCGCTTTGGGCCTGCGACTGTAACCTTCTTCTTCAAGGTGAGACTAATAAGTAACTATTGTTACTTCTGGAATCTCTAACCAGCTTCTTATCTTAGGGGATTGTGTCCTTCTCAGTGCTGTGGAATGCTACTGTGTGTTTCAGCAAATTGTCGGTTTTGTCAATGTATGCGGCGATAATCCCAAAGTCGTCTATGTCGAAATGGGCTCGTATTGTCGGTGCTCTGATCGTAATATGGAGTATCGCCAACATCGTCGCCGTTTTTTTAATATGCCAACCGTTCGCGAGGAATTGGGACTTTACGTTACCAGGAACTTGCGGTAGTCAACCAGCGTTTTACTTCGCAATGGGGCTCGCCAACCTCATCGCAGATGCCATGATTATTGTATTGCCAATGCCATATCTCTACAACTTGCGACTGGCTTGGCGCAAGAAGTTAGCCGCAATGGCCCTACTTAGCATTGGCATAGGGTAAGTGCCCGCTGATACGCAGCTCATCTTCTATTATCGACGCTGACGTTTGGGGCAGAACTTGGACTATCACTATATGCCGACAAGCACTGCTGCCCGGCCTAGACTTTACGGACATGACGTACAGCGGTGTGCTTGTCATAATGCTCTCTGGCCTCGAGCCGGCTGTCGCGATCGCTCTGCCGTGCATTCCCCTTACGCGACCCTTATTCGACAGATCAACCAAGACCACTCGTTCCAGCTACGCTAGCAAGCGGACTAGTTTTTTCTCGAGGAAGGGAGGCAGAACACAGGATTTCGACCCGACTGCCACGTTCTCAGAATTGGTGGGCAACCAACATACTTCTTCGCCACTTGAGCTGCAGTCTATCAAGCCTTCACAGATTGTTCGCATCTCGTCTGTTTACGAGCACCATAAACAGCAGATACCAGCGAGTCCAAACCACGCTATCACAGTTGACACGAAGTGGGAAGTAAGAAGAGACTGATCTGGGGGCTGTTGCATGCACCGGTATATAGTTCGGAAAGCAAATACAAGTGCACAGTGTATGCGCCTATTAGAACTACAACATTTCAGTCTCCCTATTGCTCCGAGATGGTTAAAGAAATATGGGAGGGTTGTGGGCAAGGCGCAGCCGTGATATCGCAACGCCAAAGCACACTTCTTAATGCATAGATGGCGTGAGTCGGTGGTCGTAGCGGCACCGCAACAACCAGATGACTAGCTTCTCCCGAGCGCGTGGGCAACTTAGTGATTAGCGGGGGCGGACAAAGACGCGGGGTCTTCGGGAGAGACTCACCCCACAACTGCTAAAGATTAGCGAGTGCCCAGGGCCTCGACTTAACTATACTTCCCTATCTGCATAACTTTTGGTATAGAAAGTGGGCAAGCGCGGATGTTCGTCCTGAAAAGTCTTACTGGCCTGCGACAGTGAGCCCGGCTAGGCGTTCCAGCACCTGCCTGAGGGCAAGCTTGTTGCGGCAGAGTTATAGCGTCCTCCTACACACGACAGTTATTTCGGAGTCATGTCTATATTTCCTTGATGTTTGTATGGCGCTGGCGGCAGTACAATAATAGATACAAAGTGGAATCGATCGGCGGCACGTCAGTCAGGACTTGTTCTCGCTGCGTGGGCATCATCCTAGAGAATACCACCGTTTAACGCATCCGTAGAGATTCAAGAGAGTATACAAACGCTGCAGAAGCCTGTAGTAGGGAGGTTCAACGCTGGGAAGAGCTACTCAAGTAGAGTAGCATGACTTCACGCTTGTGAGAATCTAGCGTGCAAGCAGGATCAAGATTAGGAGTACGGCGGAACTAGAAGAATGACAGGCTGTATGCCCATAGTGGACGCATGCAGGAGTACCGCGCAGGTTCCACATGACCAATGTACAAGAAGAGTAGACATCTTAGGAGAATGCATCGGACCCTGCTCTGCCTATGAAACCGACCCATAACTATGTTCCGAGTATTCTCCTCAAACTATTGAAGCTTATTTTATGCACCAGCATCCCTTAGTTATTTCGTGCATCAAATGCGACGATCATAGAACGACCAGGGTTCAGAGGTATCTTCTCTACAACGCGCTCTAGAAGCTAGAGTAGAGCTGATTTGGCGCCTAACGCCGTCAAGAAGTCGTCAGGCCTTTGTCAGTGCCGGCTCCCAGTGTCCTGTTACACAGTGTCAGCCCTAAGTTTTGGCTTTTCTTAGACTAAGGGCCCGCACTAACTTAACTCATCTTGTCGCGACGCCTGATAAACGCTTCCAATCTTCGGTCGTAAATGCAGAAGCTCTGTGGTGATGACTGCGGACGATCTCACGTATACGCCTGAGCGAGATTTGGATCTTTTCCTCCTGCTTCAACATATCATTTATCTCTTCCAGTGTAGGAATTGATTGGGAAAGAACGCCTATGCATTCGTTTCCGTATGTTCGTTGTCTACAGACTTTAGAGAACTCATTAATAAGCTCGGCGCTGTCTAGTATCTAGCAGAGTTAGATTTATAATAAAGGAAGATAAAGTTTCCCATACCTCATTGAGTCGAGTATGAAGTTCAGAACTTTCCGAAGACTGAGGAACAAATCTAGCACAACGCGCAAGGCCCGAGTTATTCGTCTTCATCTGTAATAAACAAGAAGCGTGGAAACGGTGGATTATGTTACTGCTAGAGGCAGGCACGCACATATGGCCGTGTAATAATGGATGAGGTAGACTGGGTCGTTTTAGATGGCTTATGTGGACGACAAAGGCTCAAGCTCTTATCAGGGCTTCAATCGGTTGGGTGTACTTCATGGTAGCCCTAGAGAGGCGGCCCGGGAAGCGGAACCGAGAGGTCGTCAAGGGTGATCATTAAACTTCAAGGACGTCCAATCAGGCAAATGGTAAACGCAGATCTTAACGATATAAGCAGAGTCTCATTCGTGCATGGCTTCAATCTGCGACTTGACTCGTTTATCGTCAAGAAGGGGGCCACAATCGGAGCTTGCCGTATCGCGCCATCTATACCTGACGGCATGCATTGTGATAGAGTTAATATTTATGCCAAGGCAGGGCAACACAAAGCTGACAGGTAACTCGGTATGATGGTCTCAATGCAGGTGTATCCTTCGAACACCTTGAATACGCTGTATGCAGCTGTAGATTTCGATCTGGCGGTATGCATAATAAATCATACTAGCTATGTCGAAATGATTTTTCCGTACCTACAGTATTTCTCAATAACGTTAAGAGTAACTTATGCCAAACTATATTATGACTGATAACATTCGCCACGCATAACATCAGCCCTAGCGAGTGAGCTACCGTAACTCTGCCGACGCTAAACTTCAGAGTATGAACGCGCAATCCCGATCTTGTACAAGCCCACCGCTGCTTTCGTATATCGAGGATCCATCAACTCGCCAAATTCGCGCCGCATGTGTGTAAGGAGCGTTATTTGACCTGCCCAGGTTGGACTAATCGCCAAGATAATGCGCGCTAGTGTGATTTATCACACAGTCAAGCCTCCTACTTACGCATGGCAGTTCGTCGTCAATTATAAAATAGTGGCCAAGAATGGCGCTGGTCTTTAACTCCTATGAGCTAGCTCATTATCACATAAAGTATTCAGTAGGTTCCTTAGCGTTATTATGACAGACGCTTTGGGCAACGAACCATCTTTGCTCCCACTACCGTGGTGGTGGGGTCCCGTCTGGTACCCGGTTTTAGACTGTCGCGGACCGAGATAGTTCAGACTGTTGGTGGCTATCCACACGTCCTCATCCCCTCTCCCACCTCCTAGAAATTTCCCCTCTCTTACTTCTGGGCTGGCGAAACCTGCAGCTGTTCATATGAGAGTTTCCAGTTCACCGATAACATGCTTAGGGCGGAGTTAGGTAAAGGCCTCATCCAGCTTATACAAACCGTTAAGACTTACTGTCTGGCGCTAGCCTAAAATTTCCCATATAAAGCGAGACTGCAGTGTCTATCTGCTTCCAACAGGAGTATGACTGTTAATCATGACGCCTAAGGTATCCTCGTCGCGTGTTTTGACTTCTCCAATCATACCGCAGCTGTGACATTCTGGAGGCGTCGGCCCGCCTGTTGTTGGCACAATGAATTGCAGGGTTTATTCGGCTAGTGTACCTCGTTGCGAAGTAACTTCAGCCTTCCAAAGTGCCAAGGAAATGCACAAAACTTAATCAGTATCACCCTTATACCCAATAGTTCGTATTATCACCTAGACAGATTTCAGTACCTGATATGCCGATGGCGAGGGGGTTCATGCTTCAGAACTGTAGGGACGTGCCTCGCAACTTAACCTTGAGCATTCAGCCGGTCAACCCGTGCCTTACGGCAACAAACGCGTCTCCCGTGCACGGGCCTCAGGGGATGTAAGTCTCCTTGTGATCCGTGCGCGTCCTCAGCGCCTTCTCCTGCCGATATGCTCACGTGCTAAGTCGAAGTATCAGCCTTACTCTCTGTAATCCTAGCACTTCTACACCGCGCGATATACTAGTGCTAAGTAGCGTCCCCAAACAATTACAAGTCCTGTGCGTGAGTCTTGAACGTCGCCTGAGCATTCGTCGCAATGTTTACACTAAATGGCCGCGTGACGAGCCAGGTCGCGTAACGAGCCACCCCACCAAGATCGGACGATCAAAAAGATGAGGTTATTGAGCCACCCACAAAAGCTATTATCGTAGAATTTTTTGGTCTATTGATATATATACGCTACTAAAGCGTTTGCACTACTTGTATCTCGCTGGCGTCTTGAGTCGGCGGGTGTGTAGGCCAAATTTGGGTGGGGAGGGCGCCCGAGGCAGACTCTCAACCACCCGACTTGATAAAGCAACAGCACAACGACGCTTTGTCGATTTTTTTGCTAGCTTAGGTAAGGCTTTTCGCTTACGCTTATTTGCTGTATCGCGACTTTTTTAAGCAGTTGCAGCTTGTTGTTGCTGCTTTTTAAGCTCCCGCGCGGCAGCTTTCTCCTCACGCTGCCGTTGCTCCTCCGCATCCTTAGCAATTTTAGCTTGCTGTCGAGCTAACTTTGCAGCTTCTTAAGAGCGCTTTTTCTCAGCTGCTTCTGCCGCTTTGATCTCTCTATCGCGAGCTTTTTGGAGTTGTAGCTCCGCGGCTTCGTCCAGTTCTGCGGCCTTGCGCGCGCGCTCGCTGGCAAGCTTCCTGGGACTGTAGAATACAGCTCCGCCGTGCCACTCATCACCTTCTCGTGTAGTCAGTGTTATAGACTTAATCAGGCGCTTTCGAATGAGGTTGAGTTCAGCCCGTAGCTCCTCGTTTTCGGCGTGGAGAATCGCGTTGTTAACCTGCAGCAAGTGCAGGCCTTAGGATAGCCGTTTAGCTTCAATTTTAGCCTTGTCAGCTACCGCAGCGTCAAAAATTTTGCGCAGCTAAGGCCAGCTATCGCCGTCGCCTTGCTCCCTAATTCCTAGGTCGTCATCTTGTTGTTGTGCGTTGTTGTTGAAGCGTTGAAGTACCCGGCTTGCGTCCATCGGCCATACGCCTGTAGCTTGAAAACTCTTCAATATGAGATCGTGGGTCATTGTAGAGCTCCAAGCCGGCCAAAAGTGACGATAGAAGTCCTGTTTGGTGATCCTTAAGAGGCCTTAGGTTCGCTAGAGGTGTTGAGTAAGCTGCTCAGTGTAGTGACTCGAAAGCGGCCCAAAGAGAACCACATCCAACGGCTGCAAGCTGTGGGTTGAATGGGGAGGATACACTATAACTATGATACGTTTGGCTTCACAAAACTCCAAAAACTCAGGCGTAACGTGGCTGCCGTGCCCGTTAAGGATAAGAAGGCGCTATTGACGGCGAGCTTTGGCTGCTGTATGACGTTCAAACACCTGTTGAAGCCAGGCAAGACCTAACTCGTTGTTAGACTATCCTAAAGCTGAGTAGGATACAAATATTTGGTGGTTTTGGGTCTCCAGAAGGTCGTGAACCTAGCTTAATTGAACCCCAGAGGTGCCCTAGTAGATAAGAGCGGGCGGCAGTGCATCTCCAGAAGCGCATACGCAAGCTAACAGCGTAATCCATTCTCTGTTACCATCCCTCATCGCCTAGGTACGCTCTCCCGCCTCCCAAACTGCCTTAGAGAAGATCCTCTTTCTGCGGTTGGCGATACCGACAAAGAAGCCCTTCTCATCCATATTGTACGTATTGCGCTCGTCAATCCCGTGTTCTACTATCTTGGAGTGCAGCAAGTTGAAGTACAACTCGTACTTATACTTGCTGTCAGCTACGTGACGCTCACGATCGATACCGGTGTCCCATTTAGTGATAAGCTTGTCGGGATGACGACGGCGAAACCGCTTAACCCAGCTATCGGAGACCTCTTACTGCGCAACAGCAGATCCGAAATTCTTCAAAACACTACCTGTAGGCGGTAGACCATCTCTTGTAGCTCTATCTATGTGACTAACAACCTCCTGCTCTTGTTGTAGGTTAAGTCGTTGTTAATTTGCTATTTTAGCTTCACGGGTGCCCTGCGAACCCTTGTGCCGCCGCGACAGCGTTGTTCGATCAACTCCAAATATTTTTAAAACTTAGCGGTACGAGAAACCATCTCCAGCCTCACGCGATTCGATATATTCAATCGCTCCTTGTATCGGGTCCATGGTTGTGGAGTTATGACGCGTTGAAGTTGGGACGACGCGCAATGTTGGGATGGTGGGGTGGCTCGTTACGCGACCTGGCTCGTCACGCGGCCATTTAGTGTAGGCCAAACACAAGTTTTTGTTCAACACGGCCCTTTGTCGGACGTCTGCGGACGACATCACCGGCGCCACAACGCAGTCTTTCTCGAACGACAGTATCGAACATTACAATTATGAGAGGCATCTTGCTGTTGCTATTCTTAATATACCAAGGCGGGCCCTGGCCTTACAGATTTCGATGATTGCCGCAGGCTAAGCGCTGTCAGGAACGTGAACCTTGTTACTAATAACGCTGTGCGATTTGACCTTCATATAAGTTGTGCTAGGATGTTGCCATCAATACAACATACACTCTCTACTAATTTCTGTGTACAATACCCGCACCTAACCGTGCGACACATATACAGGACCAATATCAATCGCGTGTGTCGGGTTTATCGCGTGATCGTGACTCTTCCCCGCTAGATGCTTAAAGGTCAGGGGCTATCGCGAGCCTTTGACCGCTCACTTTCCCCTTTTTAAGCAGATCCCAGGCTTCCTGCACTTTGTTTAACCCGCCTATGACTTGGACAGGCACCAGCTTTAGCTCCCCAGATGCGAACTCGCTTTCTAAGAAATCCCACCATACCCACTGCGTAAACTCCGCATTCCTGGGGTTAAGATAGTCGTCCACGAACTGTCTAAAGAACCCACTCACTCTAGACGACAGCTCCACACCTGCTCGCACACCCATCGTCGTGAGGAAGGAACCGCCTCCCTGGGCAGCCAAGACAACCCCAAGTAAGACCTGATCTTGGGCCGAGTCAGCAGCGGCTAGGACGGCTTCAAAACGGCCGATGTCTGCAAGCTCCTGGATTACCGTCGGTGATTCCCGGTCGACGAAGCGTGCAGCACCAAAGGATTCGACGAGCTTGGCGTTCTTGCTTGATGCAACTCCTATCACGCTGTAGCCAGCTCGAGCAGCTAACTGAGTAGCATAGGTGCCAAAGGAAGATGAAGCACCCCAGATGAGGACCTTCTTGTTCTGATTCTCCGGGTTAGGTTTTTCTGACGGCCTTTCAAGGTGCAAATGAAGGACTAGTGCACTAGCTGCACTATATAGGTTAGAGACGGAGGCTGCAGCTTCAAAAGACACTTCTCTGATCTAAAGCGTTGTATTGTCAACAGTCATCCTGGCGGAAGATTTGACCAAGCTCTTAGGGAACCACAGCTAAACAATAGACTATCTTACTTTCGCTGTTAGCTCCTGCGTGGCAAGTGCATATTTTTGGTATGCTCCGAATCGCGCGTTATTGCGGATAGTTCTACAACTGTTTGTGACCACGCGGTCCCCGAGCTTAAAGCGGATAATGTCTGTGCCGACCTTAACGATCGTGCTAGAGAAAGATACTAGACACTCTAACTTAGCATACGACCCTCGTAAGTAGAAACAGGCTGCTAGAGAATGCACTAACACCCTATGATGGTAGGGTATTTCAACGGGAAAGGAAGCGTTCCTTGTTAAATCTTGTATTCTGCTGGCTGGACAGCGACTGCTTTGACCTGCTGGAGTGTTAGTTAGTTAATAACGATGTATAGAGTGATGAACTCGGACGGTAAGTGGTGGTGTATCAGCAGTACGATTGATAGTCTCAAGCGACTCACCTCAACGAGGAGCTCCCCTGGGCCAGGTTCTGAAATGTCGGCATGGCCGATCTCGATCTGCTTCCCAACGCCCGGTAACCAGGCTGCGAAGTTTTGGTTTACCGCCATTGGAGGGCTGAGAGAGAGTTGCTTCGATCAGCACCGGCAGGGAGTAACACTTAAGTCTCATGAAAAGTGGTGTCTTCGTATAATTGGTAGGCTGATAGTCTGTAGGTGCTCACATAAGCTCAGAACGCTCGAATGCTAACCGTTTATAGTGATATTCTGCGATGAGTCCGATGCTAACCGTGCATAACAGGTCAATGCACGCTTGCCCTACCAAAACCACCACTACAACCTGAGGTGGTTGAGCATCGTATGTAAATACACATCATTGCAATATATCTTAGTGCTGTGGCTTACAGGCCTGTATATATGGTTGCTTATATACAGTACTAAGCCATAAGTCTGTTCGCGCTACACTTGTAACGGGCTGAACGCCCTTTGGACAGCTCCTCGATAGAATCTCGGTCTACTCGCAAAATCCGGGTGCTACCTCGAGCACCCGGATTCTCTGCGCATCGTCCGAACGACGCTCAGACGATGGCCGCAGGACCCAGAAGCTGCCTCGTGCACCTAGGCCATACCGGCCCGATTATTACTTAGGCAACTAGCTTGTATATAGATAACCACGTAGCTAGGAGCTTAGCTGTCACGATGTTCTATCATCACAAGGTTCTAGCCACAGACGGGTGAGCCACTAGGAACCCTTTAGGGCACTAACAGCCTACACTAGCTACAATTACGTAACATAGGTATATATTATCTCCCTAGGAGGCTTAATAGCTCCTTAAAGATTTGTCTTAATATAAGCCTATACTTATATCTTAGTGCCTGCCTAATTACTCCTTATAATTTAAATCCTTCTTACTCTTTGTTAGACAGACAGTCGTTAAGATATCTTTTTTACTATCTTTTAAACACTTTGCTGCAAGTGTTCTTATAAAAGCTGTAAGGAGATAAGCTCTTTACGCAATACACGAGGTAAGTAAGCAGCCTGTTAGGCAACTAATACGTCCTTAGACAGGGACTGCAGCGTCGCTAACTAACCTGCGATTAAGTAACAGGCCTAACGCGAAACTACTACATAAGAGGACGAGCTCCTCTAGCGTAAGACACTTAAAGGTGTTTTCTACAACAAGCCTAAGGGCTATCGCGATAAAGGCGAGGACTCCTTTAAAAGAGAAGCCTTTAACCTTAAAAACCCTCTAAGAACCTCTTAGAGCGAAGAAAGGCAGCCTTTACGCAACCTCTTACTTAACTATAGGAAGGCGCGCAGCACTTTACCTATTAGGTTGCACTAATTAGCAGCAGAGGATCTATCTCTCTACTGCACCTAGTTAGCGACAGAACTTTGTACTGCGTATATGTACTACAATAATGCTGTAGTAACTAGTACTACTATACCTTCTTATAAAGGGACAAGTAACAACAACAACAGCGCAACCTATAGCACTACTTATAAGCTGTCGCTTATTTGTACCTTAGCTGCTAGCACCTAAGATTAGGTAGCTTAGGTAACAAACGCCCTCTAGGAAGCTAAAGATAGAGGCGAACTTAAGGAGCGCCTAGCAAGACTCTGTAAGAGAGTAACTACTACTAACCTCCTCCTTATAGCTTAAGTAGTTGTTAGAGAGGTAATAGGTAAACTTAGCAGCACTACAAACAAGGCATCTAAACTACTAAAGTGTAAGGGGCTGCGCTTTGTGGAGCAATCGCGAGGTATATAAGAGGTTGTATTTAATAGAGAACTAAGCTCTTAAGCTACGCAGCTATCTATATACAATGCTAGTTGCCTAAGTAACAATTAGGCTAATAGAATCTAGGTGCTTAGGGTAGCACCTAGGTTCTGCGAGTAGACTAAGATTCTATTAAGGAGCTATCTAAAGGGCGTTTAGCCTGTTACAATACCCTCTTATTTATAGTGATACTACATCACCTCTCTAAAACCCCTCTAGGAGGCGGCCTTTGCTGTCTCGTTTAGCTTCTGTAAATGCTTCTTAACAATCTACTGCCTTAGCGTCCTTAAGTAGCTCTGCTAGTTTAAGCGTTGTTTAGTAAAACCCTTTCTACTTCACCTTGTAATATAGCTTACGCCCTCTCCCGCGGCGGCGTACCTCTTCTGCTATAATGTCTTCTATTTCTTATTTATCTTCTCTCTCTACCTGCAGCAGCTGTAGTTAATAGTCGTCCTAAACTTAGTTTAGAAGCGGGTTGTTGCTAGCAAGTTTTAACTAATTAATATAAAATATAGGGTGTAGGCTTAAGGGCGTGTCTAGTTCGACTAAGTAGCTGTTAATTACCTTTACTACTGTGTACTTAGCGTTCTTCTAGTCGAGCTTCTTTAAGCTTCGCCCTGTG